GCATTCGGGGGCCTTCCAAGGGAGCATCATTGGGAGGTAATAGGTATGTGGGTTGCAATCAAGTCCTGTTGGTGTGAAGTCCTTGAAGCCCGCAATAGATATAGGTAGTGTGTTGGTAGAAAGGTAACCTGATGTTTTGATTATAGTAGGGTTTTTCTTACATTTGTGCTAAGCTCACGGCAATAGAAGACACTTCATTGGTGTGAAAAATTTGAGGCAACGTGATGAGATGGCAGATTTGGGGAGCTGTTCCTTTCTGGAGGAGGATAGGCATTTGATGTCGAGCATTGGCATTGGTGTACGGGCTACGACATGTTTGGGCCGTCTTATGTATAGGTTGCTGACTGCTGCATGTAGAGATATAGGATCTAGTGGAGCTGCTTCAGATTTTAGGTTGCGTCGGATGTTTGGCTACCCAGCACTTGGTCACATCGTGGATGCGAGATTTGATCCGATAGCACAATTAGGATTCATAGGCATGTTTGATTATCAGGTATTATCTTCTGACTTTGTTCTGAGCAGGTATGTCACGTTTGACTCTCGGCAGGTGGCGAGTGGTGATCAGATCATTAGGACATCGCAGAGGGTGGAGAGTGATGGTACTCCACATTGGATGGAGACTCCAGATCATACTGCATTATTTAGGATTCTATTTGATGTGATACAGATTGGGAATGATGTTAATTTGGATGCAGATGATAGGTTGATTGATTCGAGTGTAGCTGATAGATATAGTCTGGACATGGCCATTGGTTCATCTCAGGTGGAGATGTTTGGATTGTTTTAGTTTAGGGCCATTAGAGGTGCTTTCAGCCGTAGACTTGGTCGTGAAGTTGGAGACGGGTTGCAAACTCTTCTAGTAGTTTGAGGCCTATGGAGGCTGTTTTGGTGAACTACGTGAAGGCTTGATTCCTTAGGCAAGAGGATACGTAAGCAGTCAGTTTTGATGCAGCCAATTTGGAGAGTAGATACTAACATTTGGAGAGGCAAGAGGATACGTAAGCAGTCAGTTTTGATGCAGCCAATTTGGAGAGTAGATACTAACATTTGGAGAGTGTTCGCATTCTCATTTGGGTCTCGACTTATTGTGGATTGAGTTCGTTATCGTGAAGGGTTTCCACGACATCCTCGACGCAATAAGTGGGACATTTGGTTTGGTTGGTGTCGGCTTAGTTTTGGGAAAACTTCTCTGAGGTGAAGAATTGTGGAGAAATTTGGGAAATTCTAGTTTTTGTGTGTTTTTTTGCAGATTCTGTGTCATAAGTCGACTCATGCACATGCATAAGTCGACTTATAGTATGCCGACTATATGTCGACTTACGTTCTGTTCTAGAATCGTTGTTTTTTGGCTCTGACAAGTCGACTTATGGTGTCTGTTACGTCGACTTATGAAGTGTTCTCCAATTAGTGTTTTTCGCTTTGCCAAGTCGACTTGTGGCCTCTGTTAAGTCGACTTACGATGAGTTTTCTGCACAGTTAGAGTTTCTATTTGGATTCTGTTTGGGTTTCTATTTTGGTATAAATAGGAACACGATTTTGAGGGTTTGTAGATAGCAAATTGGGGATATTTGGAGCACAGTAAAGAGGTATTTTCTGAGCTATTTGTTTAGGGTTTTGTTTGGATAGATTAAGAGCTTGTTGGTGAGATTAGTTTGTTCCTTCGAGTGATTTATAATCTCAATTTGTACTCTTTCTCTATTAGTGAAAACCCCATACCCTTCTTGCCCCGTGGACGTAGGCAACTTGCCGAACCACGTAAATCTCTTGTGTTATTGGTGATTATGCTTGTTCAATTTGGTTGTGATCTCTCTTGTTTGGCTTGTGTGATTCGACCGCTTCCGCGCCGCGCACAACATATAGTGGTCAAGCATAAGATAGTTACCTGCTTAAAATAACCTAACAAAATATAGCTCCATATGTCCCGATCAAAATCAGTCAGGATGTTATCAAACTGAACAACTGCATTGAAAAGCTTTGCGATATAGTCATGCAGCTCAATCTATATACGGAGCAAGCAACAGGCTCAGATAAAGAGTATGCATGCAAAATTATTAGCTGGCGCTGCAATTCCATTATTATTTATGCACTAACTGGTTGGTGTACAATAGGCTAATTGATAAATGTACTGTAATTCCAAGATAGATGGATAACCTACAAATGTATCTACTTATTATCAAGCAAGCACATTATAGTATCTACTTACTATATGAATCACCTTTTGTAAGCTCTTGAAATGTGAAATGGTAAAAAAAACCTACATTTCAGTCACCTGAGTCGATTGCAAAACTCATATTAAAGAAAATCATGAGGCTCTATTAGTTATACACTTTTACAGTTTGTATTAGTTATACACAATGAATACAAGCAGCAGTGTCAAAAAAGTATAGGTAAATAAAGTACTCCTCCCATTAATGAAACCTATCCAAGTCATCCACAATGAAAAAAAACATATCAAAATCGTCTATGCACTACATAATTACGCAAAAGAAAAATCCATTAAGCTGAAATGAATCAGATAGGTAAAACCTTGCAAAGAGAAAAGTAGTAGAAGTAAATAAACATGCCTGTGTCACGTAAGGGTTGAAACCTAAACCCAAAGAGGTCATGAACTCGGCTGTAACAGTTGGCCAATCAATATCAGGATATGCAACTTTATGTGCATTGTAGTTTCCAACAGCTCCAGCACACTTGCCCAATATTTGCACTTCTGTAAAGGTCTTCCCTACTTCACTTAGTCTGAAAGCAAAATTTACCATCTCCTTGCTACAAAGGGAGTTAGAAGATATAAGAACTAAACCACATAAACCTATTACAAAAGCAAATCATTTATTTCTGTAGCATAACGATGAAAATTATCAATATGATATTTTAACTGCTTTGAGCAGTCAACTTAGTATATGTCTGCATCTAATATTGGCCATGTCACGCCCCGGCCAAACGGGCCCATTGGTGCGGTACAAGCCGTGGGACCCAACAAGTGTAATGTGTTGTTTTGCTCAATCTACTGCCAAAATCGACTAACCGATGTTACCCTTAAATAAATTAAGCGACTTAAATTATCACTCAATTCCTGATGTTGGACTAAATAGGAGTGTCACAAACACTCCACCTTACTTAAGCGACGTCCTCATCGTGACATGACAATTGCCACATCCCGGTATCACTAGGTTATGTGGACTCTAGAGGTGGCTCGCACCGCACTCACGCAATATAGCACTTAGCCCCGCATAGCACTTAGCTCCACACTTGCGACTCGCTACTGCTATGATACAACTTATACTGCTATGGTACAGTACAAGTCGTGGAACCCACCAAGTGTAACACATTTGGCTCAACCCACTGCCAAAATTAACTAGGACTAAATAAGAAATAAAGATATGATTATATTATTTTTAACCTTCAGATTGAAAAGGTTCCATTCAATTTATTTCATAGCATCAAGCAAAAAACTCGTGAAGAAAGGAATGTAGAACATGTCCTGCAAACATATATGAACGAAGATAGACGGTGTAATCTTTATCAAACCAGTAATTATACATGATGTATTAGCCCCATGTATAAAATTCCTGAGTTTCAGCATGTAATCATTATTTAATTATTTCTATATATGCCCCCAATAAAAAGCTTACTTTTGTATAAAAAAATTTCACCGAAATGACCAGCCAGAAATTTCTATATATGCCCCCAATAAAAAGCTTACTTTTGTATAAAAAAATTTCACCGAAATGACCAGCCAGAAATCTTTGAGTTATTTCAACCAAAAAAAATCCACCACCAGGACATTAGGGAAAAATTCTTAGTGGAATATTACACTATGCACCTTAGATTAAGTTTAACTTTTTAAACCCAAGAGTACTTTGTTTTTCTTTGAGTACTCCCATTTCTCTAATAATTCTCTAAACGTGTTCTTGTCAGTTGCATCCCTTCTCCATTTGGGATAAATTTCATTAAGAATTTAGGATTGCTAAATAAATTAGTTCATGGAAATGAAAAAGAATTTTTCTTTTTCCTTGAAACATTCTCTGCATTTGTGTAAACACGAATAAAAGGGAAATATAAGTTTTTCAATTAAGCTTATATATCATTAAAGTTTTTGTAGATAACATCTGATCAACAAAAAGTTAGTATTCTGTTATAACAAGAGTTGCCTCTCATCTACAACTGAAAATACCTGTCCATGAGTGCGAGACAACATGGAGATATGAGCATTTTCCTTCGCTAATTTGCATATTGCATTCAAAAAAAGAATTTTGTAGAATCTGATGTCAAATATTAAGCATCAAATGCAATCTTTGAAACCATAGTTAGTCATAGTTATAAAAAGAGGAAGCATAGAGTACCCACAACAAGGAACATCAAAAAGAGGAAGCATAGTTATAAAAAGAGGAAGCATAGAGTACCCACAACAAGGAACATCCAAAACTCACCTCAGCAATCTCAGCATTGGATTGACATTTCTGTTTCAAGAAGTATTCAACTGCCTTAACATCATGGTTAGTTACTTTTTCAAACTTTTTCACTTCCAGAGCATCAGCTTTGCTGAAGCCACTAACTATACTTTCTAAATAAGACCTGGCATTCTCGCTAAAACTTGAACCTCCTTGATTTCAGGTATTTCTATTAATTTTAGCAACCATTTTACCTAAAAAAGAATCGCTTCAGATTAGCATTTTGCACTAAGTAGCCAACATGAAAATAACTACAGTGGCCAGCTTTGTCAGATCATGATGGGTAATGGAGAAAGAGGTAAACCTTTTTTACTTGTAAGTTACCTCTTTCTCCATTACCCAAGACATGACTACACTATGACAAGTTTT